ATTAAAAAAATAATCTACTTACTTCAATAGATAAGTTTAAGTTAGGTTGTTGATATATTACATAAATTTCTTAGTTTATTTCCTGTACGTTCACTATAAATAAAAAAAAATATAAAAAAAATATATATAAAGAAAAGAGATATATATATATATATATATAGCACAATTCAGATTTTTTTATTAACAAAATGCCGCCGAGAGCACGTCGAGGAAATAATCAGCGACAACGTCCTGTCTATGACTCTATAATATCTGACATGCAACGAGAAATCCAAAAACTTCAACAACGTCTTGCACGTTATGAAGCTGCTACTAATCATTCCCATCAATCAGACGGAGAACAATCAGGTAGCCCAGATGAAGATTTCAATCCATTTCACGAACCCGAGGGTGAATATTCAAGTGGAGAAACATCTCGTTCCCGACGAACGCGCCATCCTCGACACCAAGGAAAGGAGTTTGGAATCAAAGTTGAAATTCTAGATTTTGAAGAAGGTGTTCATCTCGATGAGTTTATCGAATGGCTCCATACAGTTGAACGTGTCTTTGATTTTAAAGACATTCCGGAAGAACGCAAGGTCAAGCTAGTCGCCATCAAATTCAAGAAACATGCATCCATTTGGTGGGAGAATCTCAGACGACAACGTGAACGAGAAGGTCGTAGTAAGATCTGTACATGGGATAAAATGAAACGCGAACTCAAGCGTAAATTTTTACCCAGTCACTATCGCCAAGATATGTTTCTCAAGTTTCATCACTTGGAACAAGGAAACAAATCTTTGGCCGAGTATGTTGCCGAGTTTGAAGATTTATCAATGAAGTGCGACAATGCTGAACCGGAAGAGCAGACCATTGCAAGGTTCTTAACCGGTTTGGACCCAAAAATCTCCAAAGTCGTACAACTCCAACAATATTGGTCGTTCAACGACGTCACCAAGCTTGATGTGAAGGTTGAAGGCCAGCAAGCAAAGGAGAGAACTGGATTTAAGTTTGTCTCTAAGGAGGCTTCTTACCGTGGAAATACTCCCAGAAATTTTCCACCGAAGGCCAACTCTAGCACATCAACGAAGAAGGTTGAGAATTCAGTCACAACGAGCAAACCACAAAAGCAAGGTAACAACAATCCTACCTCCAGAAGATGTTTTAAGTGTCAAGGATTTGGTCACATTGCTTCTGAATGTCCAAATTCTAGAATAATTTCTCTTGTCGAAGAGGAATTGTTAGAAGAGGAACAGGTTGAAGATATTGAGGATGAAAACAATGAAGAGGTTTTGCACGCTGACGAAGGCGAATCGTTAGTTATTCGTCGTATCCTCAATGCCGCCCCAGTAAAAGATGATGAGTGGTTACGCAACAACATCTTCCACACTCGATGTACATCTCATGGTAAAATATGTGATGTCATTATCGATAGTGGTAGTTGTGAGAACGTGATTGCCGCCACCATGGTCGAGAAATTGAAACTGCCTACAAAGGATCACCCCTATCCATACAAGCTCACGTGGTTGAAGAAGGGGAATGATTTCAAGGTCTCTAAAAGAAGCCTTGTTGATTTCTCCATCGGGAAGAAGTATCAGGATAAGGTATGGCGTGATGTCATCCCTATGGATGTTTGTCACCTACTTTTGGGTCATCCATGGCAGTATGATCGTCTTGCAATTCATGATGGCTTTCATAACACTTATTCCTTTGAAAAGGATGGTGTCAAAATTGTTTTAGCACCTCTAAAAAGGGATTTGTTAGCAAAGCCAAACCAAGAGAAGAGTTTTGTTGTGTCAGAATCAATGTTTACAATAGCCTTGAAAGAATCCAATATTGCTTGTGTTCTAGTCATGCTCGAGGAAAATCAAGAAGATCAAGGAATATCGGACGAGATCCAACCTCTACTTCGCAAATTTAGGGACATTATGCCGGAAGAAATTCTTGAAGGTTTACCTCCAATGCGTGATATTCAACATTGCATCGACTTTGTTCCTGGAGCAGTCATCCCCAATAAGGCTGCCTATAGGATGAGTCCAAAAGAGCATGAAGAGTTCAACGACAAGTCATCTATCTCATGCAAAAAGGATTGGTACGTGAAAGTGTGAGTCCATGCTCAGTTCCAGCACTTCTTGTCCCAAAGAAAGACGGATCGTGGCGCATGTGCATTGATAGTCGTGTCGTTAATCGGATCACTATCAAATATCGCTTTCCCATTCCGCGCCTTGATGATTTACTTGGTCAATTGCACGATGCTGTTTTGTTCTCGAAGATTGATCTACGAAGCGGATATCATCAAATCCTAATGCGACCTGGAGATGAACGGAAGAGTTCTTTCAAGACCAGGGATGGATTGTATGAGTGGATGGTCATGCCGTTCGGTTTTTCCAATGCCCCTAACACCTTTATGCGACTAATGAATCAGGTATTCCGCCCTTTCATTGGCAAGTTTGTAGTTGTTTACTTTGATGATATTCTTGTGTACAGTCGAAATTCTGAAGGGCATATGAATCATCTACAACAAATTTTCCAAGTTCTTCGTGAACAAAAGTTGTATGCCAATCTAAAGAAATGTCACTTCCTCATCGACAAAGTGGTATTTCTTGGATATGTTGTCTCTAGCAATGGGATCGAGATGGATCCTAGCAAAGTTGAAGCCATCAACACATGGCCAGTTCCTCAATAAATCCATGATGTTCGTAGCTTTCATGGTCTAGCGTCCTTCTACCGCCGATTCATAAAAAATTTCAGCACTATTGCCGCCCCGCTCACTGAAGTACTGAAGAAGGAGAAGTTTGAGTGGATCCCAGCAGCTCAACAAAGCTTTGAGAAGTTGAAAATTATGATCACCCATGCACCAATTCTTGTCTTGCCATATTTTGATAAGCTTTTCGAGGTAGATTGTGATGCTTCGAGAGTTGGTGTAGGTGAAGTCCTCAGCCAGGAAGGATGGCCAATTTCTTTCTTTAGTGAGAAACTCAATGAGTCAAGGCGCAAGTACTCAACCTATGAGAAGGAATTCTATACAATTGTACGATCCTTAGATCATTGGAGTCACTATCTTTTGGCTAAAGCATCTTCACAGCCAACAAAAACTCCAACGTCGTCATGCAAGATGGAGCAAGTTCTTATCTCCCTTCCACTTTGTCCTCAAGAACAAATCCGGGACGCAAAACAAGGTTGCTGATGCCTTAAGTAGAAGACATGCCTTGCTCTCCACTCTTCAAGTCAAAGTCATTGGTTTCGAGGTTCTCAAGGACTTGTATGAAGATGATGAAGATTTTGGGGAAATATGGAATAATTGTTCAGGAGGCCCTCAACGCTAGTTTCATCGACAAAATGGCTACTTATTCAAGGGAAATCAATTGTGCTTGCCAAGGTGTTCCCTACGCGAGATGATATTACATGAGTGTCATGCTAGTGGTCTTGCCTGTCATTTTGGTCGTGATAAGACATTTGGCATTGTTAAAGAAAATTTCTATTGGCCGCACATGGTTCGTGACATCGATCGATACGTCAAACGATGTCGAGCATGCCATATTGCCAAAGCCCGAGGTCAAAATACTGGTCTTTACACACCATTGCCGGTTCCTGAAACTCCTTGGGATGATGTTAGTATGGATATTGTTGTTGGGTTGCCTCGTACACAACGCAACAAAGATTCCATCATGGTTGTTGTTGATCGATTCTCGAAGATGGCTCATTTTATTCCGTGCAATAAAACTAATGATGCCACGCAGATTGCTGATCTTTATTTTCGAGAAATCGTACGGCTACATGGAATACCAAAGACCATCACTTCTGATCGAGATGTCAAGTTCATGAGCCATTTTTGGAGAACCTTATGGCACAAGTTAGGAACACAGTTACAGTTTAGCTCCGCCGCACATCCTCAAACTGATGGTCAAACTGAAGTTGTCAATAGGACTCTTGGAAATATGCTGAGAAGTCTTGTAAGCAAGAACATCCGACAGTGGGATGTGTTGTTAGCTCAAGCTGAGTTCGCCTACAATTGTTCTCCGAGCCAAACAACTGGTGAAAGCCCTTTCAAGATCGTTTATGGTAAAAATCCAACTACGCCGGTTGCTCTTGTTCCACTACCCGCTCCTGATCACTTTAGCGGTGATGCCGATGAGTGAGCTAGAGAGATCAAGAAGTTACATGAGAAGGTTCGAGCTCAAATTACAAGGCAAAATCAACGCTATCAAGAACAAGCGAACAAGTTTCGTAGACCAGCTAGCTTTAAGGAAGGAGATCTTGTTTGGATACACTTGAGGAAAGAAAGGTTTCCCAGAGGAACACATGGTAAGCTCAAGCCCAGAGCTGACGGTCCATTCAAGGTCCTAGAACGAATTGGGGAGAATGCATACAAGATTGAGCTTCCGGGGGAATACAATGTCTCCGCCACATTTAATGTCGCTGATTTGTCCTCATATCACGAGGATGAGGAAGATCAAAGACTCGAGGTCGAGTCTTCTGCAACCAGAAGAGTTTGACAAGGTTTAAAACTACTTCTAGAAGACTTCCATGTCGGCACCCCATACCCCTCATGTCGGCAATGTTGAAAATCAACATTGCATTTAATTAGCTAGCTTTGAATTAATTTCTGGTAGTTTTAGTAGTTGCTAATGAAGGCTATAAATAGCCATGGTTGTAGCTCGTTAATCGGCAAGTATTTTACATGAAATATAATTGAACACTTTGAGTGTTCTTAGGTAGAGTATTATCTCCCTAACCCTTGGTGGTGTTACTGTATCCAAGGTTCCTCTCTCAATTGTTCCTAGTGGTGTTTCTGTATCTAGGAATAAGTAGATCTGTATCGTCGGAGTAGCCGACCAACGTAGTGAATTGGCTAATTCTAACCGACCCCTACTTAGTACGGTGTCACAAAGCCTTAAAATGTGTATGTCAAGTTATGGTTTGCAAAATAAATTACACATAAAATTAGAATATATATTTTCCACAGCATGCATGTTTTCTTATACAACGCACCTAGCTGTGTATGTTGAAGTCTCAAGGCTTTACAGTACAATAATCCCTGCAGTTGGCGAAGCTCGGCCGTGTCGCTTCAACTCATTTTCTACTTGTAACTTTTCTTCATCGAAGAAAAGCTCATTGAGCACAATAGCCATAACCTCAAGAGCGGGAGAGCATGCTAGTACAAGTTTTATCAGCTCTAACTCCACGCTCCTCATCAACTTAAAGTTAAATACAACGTATTTAAGACAAGGAAGTGTGAAGTTTCCCTTGTTCTGAACACTCTTCCCAGAACATTCCTTAAATGATCTATCCTGAATGTTTTACACAGGAGTAAAGTAAGCTGAAAACAAATAGGGAAATTCCCTGTTTCTCATGGTGAACGAAATTTGTTTCTCATAGGGTCATTTTCGTGAATAAATCAACAGCTCTTTCGTTGTTGTGGGCTCCACAGTTGAATAAAGTTGTTGGTTTATTTATGAAAATGTCACGTGAGAAACAAAATTTATTTCTCACCACGAGAATCTAGGGCATTCTAAAAAAAAATGTGAGCATGATATAAGCTAATGATGAGGACAGTTACATGGATGAATAGCTGTTGCAAATGAGGAGAGCTTCGAAGTAAGCAGAGGATAAAAGGGACTGCGTAATTGCAATTCAATGGTAAGACTTTGTAAAGCTTCCAATTCTTTTCCGAGCTTTTTAGGAGGTACAACATCACAGAATAATTCACATTTATGCTGCAAAACAATATGATCAACAATTTATTAGGACAAAGGAAACAAATGCAAAGACTAGTTAGGTTTTTTTTCCAAAGAAAATTTGTTGAAAAACCATCTTATCAAAACCAGATTTTGTTGAAAACCATCTTATAATTTTTTTTTCTTTTTTTGTCAAAACACACCTGTTTTAAAAATTAAGTTTAAAATCGTACTTACCATGGGTAAACAGAATTCTTTGTCGAGAACAAGTGTCTGACAACTGAGCAAGCTACCGAAGAATTCATTCATGCTTCTCTTCAACCCATCATCTTCAAAAAGTTCCACATCCATTGCTAAAAGTTTTATTTTTCGAGTGTCTTTCAGGGATAGACTAGAGAGCTTGCCTTTCACAACCAGTTCTTGAAGATTTGGAGCACAAATTGTCAAACTTGCATTGATATTTAGTTTGAGGTGCTCTAGCCTCGAGCAAAGGGAAATAAGATTTTCCAAGGTCTGTTCCTCTAAAGGTCCAACTAGTACTGCATCGCGTAAATCTAGATCCATGACCTTAAGGTGAGGAAATCCTTTGAATGTTGGAGGCAAATTTAGATCATGGCAATTGTAGAGTTCCAACACCCTCAAGTTCTCAAAAGAATACAGACAAGAAGACAGCTTTGGTGATTGAACATGATAATTAGCCAGAGTAAATTCTTTAATGCCATGACGAGCAATGAATCGCAACCACTGACTTAAGTCTGCTTTCAATGGAAACCAAGAGGGGATACAAAGAACAAATTTAACAATAGGGCCAATGTGACGAAGTAAAATGTTGCTTATGATATCCGAATATGCTTGTGAAGCCTCACAAGTTCGATTTTTAAACCTCTTCAGGACACATTCAAAGAACTTTGGGTCAAGTATTATATTAGGAAGCATAACCCATTTATACCTCCAATATCTAGATAAGATGCTCGTCCTCACAGCATGATCATAGGGTAAGCGCATTAGTATACGCTCTGTTATTTGTTGCGGCAAATTGCTGATAATATCATTGCTCTCTTTGCAAAGCTGCTTGTTGTTTCCTGCAACAAAAATAACAGATAGCTATCAGCAAATCGAATAATGGAAATTGGTATTAATCGAAGCTTATAACAGAACACAAATACATGATTTAAACTTCACATAAATCAGGCCAATTGAGGAGGCACCAAGATAACAGATACAAATAGATTTTACACCCAAGTCTAGATTATTGAGTGTTTTACCACTTTACACATCTGAAAAATATATTTTTGGCATATGTATTTTGATTTTTCCTACTAGAAAATGTTTTCTGTTTAAAAATCCCATTTATGAGATACATGGAAGACCACCATCCTCAAAAATCAGAGTATATGATACCAAGGATAATCTTAAAAGTTCTACAAAAGTCTTTCAGCGCCTATTATAGATTACAGTAAGAATGTTATAAACTATATTAAATAAAAAGAGTGAAAAATATAGGAAAAATATATTACAGTAAGAATGTTATAAACTTATAACAAAACCTTAGTAAAAAGGAGAAAAGAAATAGAAAATATGAAGAACCATTAGCAAAAAAAGGCATAAAAAACTTGTATTACTGTTGGTTTGAACTCAAACCACCAAGGTAACTTAAAACTTGGATATGACATCATATCATTTTTGGTGACCCCCAATGAAAATAATGTCATCAAAATCTTGTTAAGACTCACTAAGGGCCTGTTTGATTAACTGAATTGAGATGAACTAAATATTTTATGAGAAAAGGAAATTAAGAATTGAACTGAACTGAACTAAAGGGAACAGACCCCAAGACTTGTCCAAATTTATCACTTTAGCCCTAAGACTCAAATATATAACATATTTATTTATTTTTTTTTTTTATCTCTTTATATGTAGAAAAGTGTTAAAAAAAATTATAAAAATAAAATTGAGGTGGGTCCCAATCTCAAGTCTTAAGTTGAGTCTTGGAATTTCAAGACTCAACTAGAGACTTGCTTGAGATTTAAGTAGAAAATTGGGAAACATAAGTCTTAAAATTCAAGAAAAATGGAAAACATAAGTTTTAAGACTCAAGAAAAATAGCTAAACTTGCTCTAATTACATTTGCTCATCTATTCTACCACTAAACCATCAAGGAGGTCTATTACATTATAGCAACAAATTTGATAATTATACTCTACTTTTCAATTTAGGGCCCTAAAAATAAATTGGGCCATTAAGGCCCTGTGCTGACGACCAACTTGCACAGGGCCTTAGTCGGCCTTAATTTTCTAGACTTATGGGTCCGAGTAAGTGAATAAGGGATGAGTCTAGGTGGCATTGGGTAGGATATAAAGTTTGGATATAATGTTTTTATATCTAAATCCTACCCAAACCCTACCTACGGGCTCTTAAGACCCATACCTACATAGACACTCATACAGACTTGTATAATAAATTAACTTAGAAAAAGTTTCGAAATAAAATAAATCAACAATGAATCAAATAAAATGGAAGCATATTAACTTTATAGTTGTGCACTTAGTGGCAGATCCATGATTTCCAAGATGGTGAGTCACCATTAATTATTGATCACATGTGAAAATATATATTTTTTCCAATAGTTCAAAATTGATTTCAATCCAAAATTATATAAAAATAGTTATATTTAAACCAAATTGATTTCAATTCAAAAATAGGACACAAAAATCCATACTACAGCCAAATAAGCAAATGCTCCCTCCGTTTTTAAATACTTGCTCCATTTCTATTGGACACGCATGCCGATGTTAACCTTTGATCGCTAATATCTTTAATTATCAATAGGTATAACTTCTAACAATTGAAAATTAATAATCTATTCATTGAGATGATTCCAACAAGTACCCACACGACTATATTTTTTCTTATATATAAATCACAAACATTAGTCAAAGTAGGATAAATGAATAGTGCAAAAAAAAAAAAAAGAAATGGAGCAAGTATTTAAAAACGGAGGGAGTAGTACTTTAAAAATTCGTCTTACAAGCCAAAAGTACTGCAAATAACAGGTAACAAATAAATAGTACACACACATTACTCTTAGGGGACGTTTGGTTCACGAAATATATATGATGTATGGATTTAGAATGATTAAAACCCATACCATATGTATGGTTGTCTAAAGTATGAATTTTAAACTCATCATACCTCAAACCCATAAGGTATGGGTTTTAGAAACTTTGGCGGGAGGTGGGTTTGACCTATTCCATTCCCTTAGGTATCACATAAAAGGAGGGAATAGTGAGATATTCCATTCCAGAATCGAATTAAACATATGGTATTAAGTGTCAAGTTCCAACCCGATGCCACTATAACCCCAATCTTGATTTCAAACTCATACCACTCTACGAACCAATCTCTCTCTTTATAAAAGCAAAAAAACAAAAAAAAAAAGAAGTAAAATGATCTCAGAGACCGGTTGTTAGATATAACCGGTTCCTTTTAATTATAAAACATACTTCCTCCGTTTCTATTTATTTGACTCGTTTGATTTAGTCACATATATTAAGGAGAGGAGAGAGAGTGAAAGAGAATGAAAAAACAAGTGGGGTAGCTTGTAAATGCAAGGTAAAAAAGTTACCCCAAAAATCCGAAAATTCACATTTGAATAGGTATCCAATATCCGAAATTTTCGGATCGGATTGGAGATTCTAAATTATTAGATTGGATCTTCGGAAAAAATCCAATCTTAATCAGGCAATTCGCCAACAATGATCAAATTCAATGATTTATCAAACTTCATAGTGTAGACACCTAAAAATATCTCCCCAAAACCAAACCCGTTGATGAACACCTTTCACCGCCATTATTGTTCGATTTGAGTATTTAATCTTTGGAGTGCTTAAATCCATGTTCTATCCAACATATTTCATGAACCAATCCAATTTCTAGCTCATTTCCCTAAACCATAACCTATTTTCCACTTTTCGTGTCCACTGAGAGAAACTGATTTTATGGCTATAAAATTTCGATCCAATTATTATTTTATTGGATAGGCCTTTAAATAAGATTTCCAACCATATATCATAAGCCCAATTCTGAGCTATAACGAAAAAGATATGAGCAAAACACTAAACTCGGCCTAAAACCGACACCCTTCCACTAAAACGGCCATATCTTAAGATCTACATATTATTTTGACTTGATTCCAATTGGGTTGGAAAGCAGACTTGATAAGTTTCCAATGATATATTATATGCCTCATTCCGAGTTAAGGATCAAAAGTTATGGTGGTTTTAAAAACGGGTAAAAACCTGGAATCACCGCGCACAGTGCAATTCCACCGTGTCACGGGGAATTGCACCGTCTGACGGTGGGAATCCCCGTGACACGGTGCCCTTTCTGTGACGCGGGGCTATTCCGTGTCCTATTTGCGTTCTTCGTACCTAAACAACTCCCGCGTCACGGCATTTTCCACCGTGTCACGGGAATTTACAGTGTCTGACGGTGGGATTCCCCGTGACACGGAGCTGTTTCCGTGTAATTTCCGCGTCTCCCATACTGTGACACGGTGTATTGTACCGTGTCACGGTGGATACTGCCGTGTCACGGGACATTCCGTGTCTTTTCCGCGTAAACCCTTAACGCGTTTTCACTTCCCGTAACCTAAATATTTCCCGTGTCACGCAAATTTGTACCGTGTCACGGGAAAGTTTCCTGTCTGACGGTGGGATTTACCGTGTCACGGTACACTCTTATTTTATTTTAATATTGCTCGCATCATGATTATGTTATTTTATGTTTGATTTGACTTACAATATTATTGTTAAATTGCTTCCAATATTAATTAATGTTTATTCTATTATTTTTATGATCACCATATTGCATGTTAAAGGGAATATGTAATTGAAAATCACGCCTAATAAGATAATTTGGACGACCGGTTTAGGTTCCTTTTTAATCTTGTTATTAATTCAAGTGATCACTAATATTTTAGAATTTATGTTGCATTAATATTCAACCAATTTAGCTTAATAATAGTTTGGAACGAATTGAATATTTTGTTTGTATGCCTTTGAGATCGCAGGAATCACTTTTCACTATAAGAATCGAGTAGAGGCCAATACGGGCGAATGTGACTCCATGACTCACTTCGTACCATCATCCCCGATCCTCCTTTCGTGGTTCCAAACCATATGGAGTTAGTAATCTCATGGATTATGAATGGGGTGTAACCTTCACGGGTCAATCGTTGTTGCCTTCGTTGTCCCTTTATCGTGGTTGCCTTTTATGATCCGTGAACGGTTTAAAAGTTCCTTAAAAACTTGTTGGCGGCTCCCTGCTTTCCTTGTCCCTAATCGTATTATGTCAATTCCCACTTCCTATGAGTGCCAAGCATATTCACAACATGCTTTTACGTAGGCGCACTTCGAGCGACGCCTACAATTTGGCGACTCCACTGGGGAGGATTCTTAATTATTTATCGATTTGAGTGGTCGGTATTTAATTAAGATGAGTGGATGAGACTTGAAAGATTCTTGAAAAAAATATTCCTGTGATTAATTTGGCATTTTTGCATCTGCATAAACGTTTTAACGTCGCATTCAGGTCTGTCTTGTAGGAAAAATTGGATAACTTGGTTGCGCGCGAAGGAAAACAGGGCACCAGACAGGTCTTCTGATTGTCGTGCCACGACAGAATCTGCCGTGTCACGGTACAGTGCACCGTCTAACGGGAATTTTTTCCGTGTCACGGCAGTCCTAAAATCAGTCCGGTGGCTTATTTTCTTTCCTCACAGTCGACTTCCTCCGAATTTTCTGAAAAAACGTATGTGTTCTACATGCGTCTTAGCCCGGGAGGATTTAAGCTCTATCGACCCAAAAACGCTCATGGCAATAAGGGTTCATCCGAGTTATTAAATCCACCCAAACCATGGAGTCGAGTTCGATTTCATCACGAACTCGCGGAGCCGCCCGTTGGCATACACCCTCAAGGGAGGCTGCCTTGCTAACGCGTCCAAACTCTTAACCATGGTACCCTTTTGACACCCAAAGCTTGACTAATAGTTGAACATAGATCTTGACCCTAGGTTGCGAAC